TCTGCTTTGTGGATTCATTTACAGTCCATTTTTAGATCATTAACTCCCCTTTAAATTACACTTTAAATTATACAGCAATAGTATTTATAAATCACAATCACACTGACAGTTATTTCTGTTCATTTGTTCATTTAACACACAAATGTAAGACCCTTAATATTTTCAGAAGACTGATGTTTCTTCATTATTGATGTGCTGTATTTAAATCTAAGGTTTGAAATGTAAACGTTGTCCGATTGTTCAAGTTTGATATAAGAACCATAAAAACACAAAAGTGCATAAAAATCCTACCCATTATCTCAGAAACAGATAAGGGTGTGACAACTTAAATATGTTTTCTTTTCAAAATAATAAATCTGGCTCTTGTGATGATAAAGTAGACAAAACGTGGAAAACACAGCTCAGGGGTAAATCCCTTGTTGATTTTGGAGAGTAATAGGAGGTCTGGTCTAGGCAGATAAAACTGAAATAGAATAAATACTGGCCATGTACTGGTACTCCTGCATAAGGTTGTAATCCATGCCCTTCTTCATCTGCCAGTTTGTGAAATCAGCTTCATAATAAGGATATTTATCATGGACATTGTTATTGTAACGCTTACGGCCGACAGGCACTGTGTAAGAGCCGGCGTACCAGAGCAGGTGACGTCACCGCCCTTCCCTGTGATAGCAGGACTACAGCTACTGGGCTGTAGGGAGATCTCTCTTTAGCTCACGGGGCTGGGTCGCTGCAGAGAGACGCGGGAGTCCTGGGTTTGAGCCTCAGTCGGGATGGGGCCGACCTAATGTGGCAAGGGCGCCCGCCTGAGCCCCCGTTGCGTTACATTATTGTTGCTGTTTTCTTATGGTTGTGAAATGAGTTAGGCATTATTTGTACTGGGCAGTGGACAAGCTAATCATGATATTACACGGTGCCTTACAGTAGGAAGTATCTGAACGATGAGGCTGTTTTTTAAGGCTGTTAACATATTGATGAAACAGTACTAAGAAACTGAACAGTACACTAGGAGGTTAGAACAAGGCCCTTCAATTATGATCTGCATCAGGACCAGTATTTTTACAACCTGACAACCAAAATATTTATCTTGTGATCTAAAACTTGACATATTTATCATGTCAAACAGTTTCTGTGTGACCGCTCTCTCTTTGCTTTTAATTCTTCTCAGTGAATAATATACTTTTTTTCATTCCATCTCTCTTCTACCTTTCGTGTGTACTCTTCCTCTTATTTGCACTTCTGTATTAGAACCAGATAGTTGTAGAAATCAGGACAGCTCCATCTCTAATTATTTTTGTTTTGAGTTCCCCCAACTCATCTCGTCAGATTACATTCCATCACCCTGACGTTCCTTGAAATAAACCATCCATCAACAATCATTGCAGTCGTTGACACCTACTACAAAACTATTTGTCTGATTATTTTGCTGTATGTTCCTAGGCCATAATATGATTACAAAAGAGATATCTGTAACATTTTGTATAAGAAAGATTAGAATTGAAGTCATTTAAGAGCTAATCTAGTCACATCTAATTAAAAACACATTTAGGTAACAAAAACCTATTTTCCCACCATTCCCACAATCCCCTGCACAGTCATCCTCACCCTTGCAGCAGCTTCTTGGACATTCCATCTTTTGAAGTCTTTCCAATGGCGTCATCCTCACTGTTATTCCCTTAACTATTTAATTTAATACTTTTAGTTTAGTAATTCAATTACATCCTTATAAATGTTATAAGTAGACTAATATGTATAAAGTATTTGACGTCCCTTGCCTGAGGAAATGGCAGCCTATTCAAAGATGGAAGTGGAGACGAGTGGAATTGTGTGAGATTAGGATCTAACCTTCCTCCCAGATTTCTACTGTAATTTATTTTATAATTCTATTAAGTTCAGAAATAAAGTTATTTGAAAAAAAGTTTATTAAACTTAAGATATGATCCATTTCTAGGTTGTTATTTGACAACTTGGCATTTGGGATGCAAATTTTTTTTCTGGCTTTTTAAATACTGTAGCTCTTCAAAAGTAGTCATCTTCATGAAAGTCTTACACACGGCTCCAGCCACAGCATAAAGCAGTTTTTTGGGTCTTACACAGACTTATGCATATTTCATCTGTGCTAAGGCTACTAAGGCTGTAGCTTCCAAGTCAAAGTAAAAAATAAAAACTTGTCAGATTATGCCAATTAATCTACTACAACGTTTTATTTAATCTATATGAAAAAAATATTGGGAGGATATTATTTTTATTTCTTTTGGAGAAGAGTATAATTTGCTGTACTGTATGTGTGGTATATTTTTATACTGTAGCAATCATGAAAGCTGATCGATGAATTCCCCAAGACACAAGATCTTCAATTGCTCATAACATACTGTACACAAATGACTGAAAGCTTTGAAATTGATCTATATAGACATGGTACAAATGTGCTTGTCCCATATGAAACCCCCGTGTGTGAGAAAGATTCTAAAGCTCCATATCTATTCTCTTTCTAAAGAAAGATACCAAAATTCCCAGGAAATTGGAACACATGTACAGGTACGATGCATATACTCTTTCCTAAGGTGTTTGTAACTAAATATAAAGCAGTCAAACACTAAGCAGCCATTAATTATAAAATAACTCATGTTTTCATAAGTTTACATTGTTACCGTCTATTCACATTTAGGGGTTTGGACAGAACACCTCACAATGATAATCATATATTAAAGTAGATCATTTAACACAAGATCTATTTAGGTTGTTGTACAATACCCTTCACAAAATATTTGGAAAGTAAACCTATGTTTGCTTTACACATTCAAGGAATTTAAATTTGTGATTATGAAATCAATATGAATAATATGCATATTATACATTTTATGTTTGGGTAATTCTATGCAAACACTTAAATACATTCAAACAAATACATACTTTATGTTTAATCCACTGATTTAGTTAATATAGTTATTATAAAAATGGTTTTATATCTCTGAGGATTTTTTGAGGCAATAACTGCATGAAGTCTGTGATCTACTGAACTCACCAAACTCTTTTTATAATCATTTGTGATGCTTTGCCAAGCCTTTTCTCCAGCCACTTTGAGTTTTTGCCTGTTCTTATGTGTTATGATTTAACTTATCTTCAGCGTTTACAATTCATTTTCAATTGGATTTAAATCTGGAAAATGACTTGGCCAGTTTAAGATTTTCTACATGTTTCTCCTGATGTCCTGATCTAGTCTTTGGTTGATTTGTCAGTATGTATTGGATCATTGCTATTTTGTACCGTATGTTGAAGTACTGCTTGATAAATGCAGAACAATTTTCTTCTACACAAGCAGACCAAGTTTCTGTAAATATCAGAATTGATTCTGCTGCTCCCATCATTGGTCATACAGTATCATCAATAAAGTCAAGTGAGACATTCCAGAGTTGCCACATACTATATAACAAGACTATGAGATTAAATCCACCATTCTTCACAGATGAGGTGGTGTTCTGTGGAGAATCTGCACTTCCTTTAATTGTTCACATTTTAACCTTTCCATCAGTTGGGTATTTTCAATGTTTTTTTCCGTTTTTGGTGCTTATGAAAGGTTTACTTCTTGTAGTGTAACCTTTGTAATGCTGCTACCTCAGTCTTGTGTAAACTATAGTTTTGACACCTTCACCCCAATATGAAATTCAACACTACCAACGTATTTAAGATAGATAAGATCACTTTATTGGCTATATACAATTTCTTGCATTAGGAATTTGTCCTTTTGCATGCCCCAGCTTGCCCTCCATAAGACCCACAGGGACACAGATGGGGAGAGAGAAGCTTGGGGTCAGAGCACAGGGTCAGGCATTTATATGGCATCGCTGTATCAGTTGGAGTTAAGGGCCTTGTTCAGGGGCCTACCAGAGTAGGATTCATCTGCCGGCTGCAGAATACAAACCGGCAACCTTCCAGCCACAGGCACAGATCCTTAGCCATAGAGCCACCGCTCTGTCCATTTAATTGACCAGAGAGGGTAGAACTGAATTGAGTTTATTGTAACAAAATACTGTACTTGGGATTTTTATTTATCTTTTTTTTTTATGAGAAAAGTTTACCAGAGTTCTTAATGAATATCTCAGTTTAGACTTCACTGTCCCTGAACGTTTGTCCCTGTATGTTTTAAACATACATCCATGGCTGTGATATAAATTGAATCATTGAGGCTGTTTATTTCTTTATCTTTGAAATTAGTGTTGAATATATATTTGAATATAAATAATATGTTTTATTCTTGAGTGTAATGTGTTTTATTCTTGAGTGATATATTCCTGTAGAAAATTTAAAACTCATGAATTAATGTAATACATATATAATTTATTTGTAATTTTCAAACTTCTAGAGCAATATACCACAAAAGTAGTTTGAAGAGTTAAATTCATTTCTTAAATGGGCTGAGTTGATAGTAATTACTAAGGAAATATGCAAGTAAAAAGGCTTGAGGGTTTCCTCTTGGATGGCCCATGATGAAAGTATGAATATAAAAGCATAAATCAAAATAATATTGCCAAAGAGCCTTTTGATGAAAAACAGAATAAGATCTGAGGACCTTGTGTAGATTGAACCAAATTTGTGGTTACACTCTTAAGAATGTACATTCTTAAATTTAAAGGATAGGTTAATCTAGTACTATCATTTCATTAAAACATTTATAACATTTCATTAAAAGCCAGCAAGTTCATGCTTCTTTTCCAAATGTGTAAAATAAATTAAACAGAATTTGCAATTATTTTAAACTGAGAAATATTGAATATCAAAATATGTGAGAAATATTGAAAGAAAAATTATTTTCTCATAGCATTTAAAAGGTATAAAATCCATAGCTGGAGAAATTGAAAGAAAAATAAAATAGGGATGTAAAGAAAAGTCATTAAATATTTATGCATATGTTTATGTACCAGACTGCTCTTATTATTTTAAGGAAAATAACAGATTTCTCAGTTAGAAAAGACTCAGAGGCCTAATAAATACACATAACATGATCCATTTCACAGAAAGTCCTTTATGTGTTACAATTCTTGCAATAAAAAAATCTGAAGCATGCACACAAAGATAATTTTGTTGCCATGTATTTTTGTATCTCAAAGAGTTATATTTTGTAAGTTTTAAAACAAAATTGGTTCAAAAGCACATTTAACATTGTTTCATGTAGAGCTGTATATAGCCTTCTTAATTTTAGCATACCTTGTGTTTCATGTCAATATACAGTAGGCTTAGTAGGCTTATTTAAAATAAATCCCCTTTCCTTTGCAGAATACAGATCACTTCCTTTTAATTAAAATGATCAGTTCCTGATGCAGTAATACATTTTTTATCTTTTCAGGATCCATCAAACAGTAACAGTAAAGTGAAAGAGTAATGTTAGAGGACAGCAAAGAATAGATGAAAGGTCTTTCCCTTAGTTTCCATGAAGGGTCATCTCATCCTCCTCTTTCACTACAGGAAGAGGGTTGACATTGCGAGCTTGTACCTGACCAGAAACAGTCTGGAGGGAGGAAGTGTCTGCAGAGGCTGTTTTGCAAAGACAAAGAAAATGAAGAGAGAAAGAGAGAAAGAAACAAAGAAAGAGAGAGAGAAACAGAGGTTGAGAGACATAAAGTTACATTTTAAAAGAGAAACATGAAACCCAAAGAGTGCATGAGAAATCATCACAAAGTATAAAGCTGACAGCAGTACATTGTTCCTGTACCATAAGAAGTGATTTGACAGCTGTTGTTGTTAGTGAAGAAGTGTCAAGAACACATTGTCGTATGAAAAGTTATCATTTGTGTATGCTAAATTTGTACAAGAACACTATACGTGTTATTAATAATGGTATCATCACGTTATGCTCTTAGCTCACTGTCATAGTGGCATATTTATTTTTCAAGCAATTACAGCGAGATTTCCTGTACAATATCGACCACCCCAGAAGACAGAATATCCATAGGGCCTCTTGACTAGCAACGCTTTCAAACCTGTTACTCATAAGGAGTCAGTACAGCTGAGCATGCCTTGTTTCTAACAGTAAACAATCCAGTAACTAACACAAGAAATGCATTGCTACCACAAGGGATATTTTGAACCTGCTCACATTCTTGTCAAAGGTTTCAAGATTTCAAAAACTAGACTATAATATCCAAATAAAATAGCTGAATTGCCGTTATTCACCTGTGTGGTTTATTGGAGTTAGCAACATGAAAAACCCTTTACTCTTTACATGAATGAAAAAAATATTTGCACTCCTTTACATACACAAATTTTATATGTAAATATATACACAGGAGATCTGTATATTATGCAGTACCCTCCTGATTTATTCATTCCCTTGAAGCATATTTAATAAAGAAAAGTACAACTGCATATCCATATTTTTCATCCATACATTATCAGAAAGCTACTTATTCCTGGTAAGGCTACCACAGCCAAGAGTCTGTCCTTGACTACAAGCTGGATGGGATGTCAGGCTATTGAAACACTCACAAAAAACACACAAAAGTTGCTGTCCTCAGCCTACATATTCAGCATGTCTTTGGAAGCAGACATGAAAATGGAACACCGAGAGTAAAACAAAACATGGAGAGAACATGCAAACTCCATAGCAATTGACCCAAGGCTCAAGAGCTGTAAGGAAAAAAGTGATAAATGCCCTGGAAATTTTCAACATTTATGAAACAAAGACTTAGAAAATGTTTGAAAATGAGGAGGAATATATCAATCACATAAATTTATTAAATACATTTAGAAGTGTGCAATGTTCCTCTTTATTCATCATCTGTAAATACGTGAAAAAATGATTTGTAATGTAAATATAATCCACAGCAGCTTCTTAGTCTTATGACATTTTGACAAAGTTTCAAAGTTTACAGAAACTACTAAAAGTCACCTTGATTGCAATTGGGTATTAAAAGAGATTGAATACAGAAACAAAATAGTACCATACAAATTAGCAAAGCTGGTGAGTTGTCCAAAGAAAACGGAACATCTCTGTAAAAAACTCCACAAGACATTGCAATTTCAGCTAACCAAAACGCTCATGGCTAAAGTAATGGTTGTGATCCTTTCAATAAAAGAATGTAAGAGCTTTTTACCAAAATGTCCATACAGAAAAAAAGGTTTGGGAGCCAAGGGAAACAACTGGGAAACTTAAAAAAACTTTAGTATTATCAGATCTCCAAGACTGTCATTTGAGGTTGGATTAATCTGGGGTCTGCAGCAGGGTTCCATGGCATCATAAAAAAGGCTAAGCTTTTTTTTTCTTGATGAAACACATAACAACAACTCAATAGTTGTCGGACAATCCCACTGGGAGTACCATTAGCACAAAACGCTGAAGGTCATGTTGAAAATAATGCCATCACTTATTTGAGGAAATAAAAAAAGTAACTGTCCTGCTTTAGGTTTAGCTTGTACAGTCTCTTCTGGTTCTTGTTTCCTGGAACTAGCAACTGATTGAATATAAGGTTTACTTGTACATAAAGCTGCTGTCTTCTTGACTGTGACTGATTCCCAATAAAATTCCAGATTCCCAAAGTGGAAGCAAAAACTGTAATAAGTTAAGCATTAAAGTAAACAAAATTAGTTACGCATCCAAACATTGTGCATTTAGAATATACAATTTTTTTATATAGAATATTGAATGTCATACACCTGTGTCAATCAAAACAAAAACAAATTATTTTCTCATAGCACATTTATAATTCATAAATTTTAAATTAATTATAATCACAAATACTAAATGTATATGTGATTTTGCTAAATCAACAAATTTTAGTTACACTTTATCCAGTGTATGATTGCATTTGGAGGCTAATATTATGCATCATGCTATGACTCTGAATTTGAACTAGAGTTATGTTTATTGTTAACTTACTTATTGGTGTATTGTGGTTTATTTAATATACTGTAGGCTATCATTATTTATTTGAAAGTCTGCATGGAGATAGTTCTTATTCTTAAAATAAATGAACTGTTAATGCACTTCAGTTCCCAAATAGATGAATATACAGTTTGCCATACCACTCCTCTGTTGTAGAGAACTGAAATAAAACAGCTTTCCATGCTTATTAAAGGAATCTACATAAATGATCCAATCCCTTTCATATACAGCTTCCTGCAGGTCAGAATCATCCATGCAATATGTGTAATGTACAATATGTGTCTAATTCCTGATGAATTGCTTTACACATGTCAAGTGTCTATCGAATCCTTGATTTTGTCCCAGTCTTTTTAGTGCTTTGCCACTTCCCCTGTGTAAATTATATTCTGTGCAAATTTAACTCATTTGCTAGCTATTCCAGAATGTAAAGAACTGTTAAAAATGCAGAGCAATCATTCTACAAATACATATTGTTCTCTTTAATATGACTTGCTGTTTCTTATTTAATAACATTATTTTCATAGATTTCTGTGGAGTATTCCATATTTGCATAGATTTCCATAACATTTTGTTTTAAAAAATCTCTTATGGAGGACCTTATTAAATACATCCTGGGAATCTAAACATCATATGATTTAGAGAAGGATTCTCAGAATCAATTCCTGCAGGGTTTTCTGTCTTCTTGAATTTGTCCTATTCTGAGTTGTCAAATAAAGAGTGATTCTAATTATGGTCTTGCTTAGGCTTACATAAGATTTTTCTTAAGGTCTAAGGTTAGTGAAAACAGTTACTTAATTAAATGTACAATTACTGTACCTATAAACACCTTGGAGCCTTAGAGAAATTACAAGCTTCATAATCATTAGGTATGTAAATGATTAGGTCAACTATCTAACTGCAAGCATGGGTGAAACAAATACCAGAGGTCAGTAGGTCCTCCAGGAGACCCTAATTCAGAGAGTGCTTGTTCCATGAAAAAACAAGACCAAGTTTTCACAGACAACCACTGTCCATGAAGAGGTGTCCCCTTATTGTACACTTTCAGGGGGACAAAATAAAAAAACACCTTAAACCTTAAAACGTCTTCTAAGACACCTTAGCTCCCACTACCTAATAATTTGCCTTTATTTTTTAAAAGAAACAGCCCACTTTGTGTATCTTGTGCATGCTAACTAAATGGCCAGTCAAGCCTCAGAATCTCTGTGTTCCACTTAGTCTGGTCACGGTACACAGCAATTACAATGTTCTTCAAATTTAGTTCCAACTATCATTGCCATGATCATTTCAGATGAAGAAGTGAGACTGTAATTTTCGGTTTCACTTTTGTCCTCCCTATTATGAACTTTGGTTGCATCAGCTGTTATCCAATCTGTGAACACAACTCCCATCATAACTGGTGGTTGGCTATTTTAAATAACTCTTCTGACTTCCTTAAGTAAAAAAAAAGGAAATTACCATCATGCCCCAGTGGTAGTTTCGAGATAATCTAGCCCTCGCACAACTTCAGTGTCAGTTCTGTTAAAATAACCCCTTAATCAGAAATGTATTTATATAAAGTAGTATGGGGCATGTTATTGAAATAATCTGTTGTAAACACCTGTGGAAAATTAAATACAGATGCAGCCATTCAAAACAAGCGGGCGATACCGCATTATTTTCCGGTGCGCTTGATGCAGTATACCGCAAGTTACGGTATTAATACCATATATTCTCGCAAAGCGCCACATGATACCGCGAATAAAATAATAGTATCCTGAATTTCCGCAAGGTGGAGCTAATAAAGCTCAACCTCTCATGATTGAGCTGTCGCCATCAAAGTCTTTACCGAAGATATTACTAATAGTATTTACA